AGATTTTGTTACAAAATAATGCACACTGGCACAAAAAATACCATCTTTTTCAGAAAAGATCATGTTTATTTTAGTTAGCTGACTCGAAAAAAGTCCAATTATTTTTTGTACAAAAAATATCAGCCACCGGCAGTTTATTTGTGTCACACATTGGACTCTTTTTTGCATTTCTGCTAAAAATAAATAAATAAAAAAAGATGCTGCAGACACATTCAAAAGCTAAAGCTGTTGTAAATCTTCTTTACATAAAATTTGTGCATTAAAACAGGATGTGATCAGGAGTGATGTTTGGTGGCGTTGAGGCAAAATTTGAAAATTAAAAACCAAACAATGGCAGTCAATGGGGTTTTGGTGAAACGGACGAGAAAGAAAGTCCTCTTTGGTGCTCGACATCTCAGACAGACGTCTCTGCAGAAACATCGCTCAAAGTTTAAACAGGTCACAGAAAGTCAGACTGAACTGCACTTTGATGTACGTTACAGTTTTCACACGATCACGGTTTAAATTTTAAGATTTTGCAGATTTTTCTTGGGAACGTTCAGCTGACAGTTGATCACACAAACTGCTGATATGGCTGTAAAAGTCAAAACCTTTACAAACAGCCACGACTTTTTGTGCAACGTGAACAAATTATACATCAGAACCTGACAACTTTTGTCCTTTATCACCGGCTGTGTGTCTTAAATCCACCCAGAACACAGAGAGGACCGACTTCAGTTTGATTTTCACTCTTCAGAACAGGAAGTGACTTTTTAACTTGTCAAATCTCCAACAAAAGTCATAGAAACATAAAGTATTACATCTTAGACCACAGGTGTCCAAAGTGTGGCCCGAGGGCCATTTGCGGCCCTTGGATTGGTTTTGTGCGGCCCAAAACTGCAGTTTAAGAACGGTGTCATTTTGTCCAGCAGGCTTAAGAGATCGATGTAGACTTTCTGCAAATTCGTTGGTAATCTTTTTACTATAATGTTTAGGTTTTAACAGCAAAACAGATGAAAAACTATATTCTCAAAATTTGCAATATTAAATAAAATACAAACCTTTGGCTATAATATTTTTATTTTCACTTCATGGTGCAATGCACCAAAAACCTGATCTCTATACAAAGGAGACTTTTGGATAATGATTCATAAAACTTTTTTAAATATTGCAGTTGATAAAATAATCTAGAGGGAAATTGGGCATTTTAAAATTAATATAACGTGGTATCATTTATATACGAGTTGATCAACTTTATCAAACCTTCTATGAATCTGCGACTGACAGCTGGACAATTTTTCAGAACTTCAATCAATCTTTTGGGACATCCATGATCCAAAAGGTTGATCGACATCCTTTTATAAGGACACTTACTCAAATTGTGTTTTTGTTGCTGAGAACCGACTAAAATGAACTTTCCAAACACAAAAAAACAACAAACGTAAACCCAACAAATCAAATGATAAAAAATATAAGCTATAGTGTTTGAGGTTTTTAATGTTTTGGATCTACAAATTAAAACTCTTTCTGCACCAAAATGAGTAAACTTTTGTCCTTTCTCCAAAATATTGTTCACGTTGAGTTAAATTCACATTTTTGTGTCCCACGAGTGCTTTCATCTGGATAATTTTGGCCCATACGAAAACATTTGGACACCCCTGCCTTAAACCATCAGAGCCTTCTGCTGTTTATGGTTTAAATATTTTTAAGATCAGAACTTGTAGTTTTTGTGCCACAATTGTTTACTTGTTGCAGCATTTTTTTTTCTGGCTCTCATTCACTTGACAGTCATGGAGTGAGAGACACAGGTTAGTTACCATGGTGACCACAATGAGCCACTGGCAGCAGTTTTAACACCTTCTTTTAAATCTTGGTTAACTTCTTCTTATATATCTCACATATAAAAATCTTGTTTATTTTTCTTAGTTAGATTTTTACCAAATTGATGGGACTTTTGGTCAATGGCTGCATGAGAACCAACCACAATGTCTTCAGAAGTTTTATATTTATTTATATTTATTATTTATTATCGTTGACCAAAACACACAATGACATTTCTCAGTTTTGACTATCTCCATGCTGCCTTTTTTAGTTTTAATTAAACACAAATTAGACGACACATAAATCATTGCATCCTCCTGTTTACATTTTGTGTTTTTTTGTTCACACACACACACAGACACACACACATACACACACGCAGAGGCTGCATTTCGCTATTGTTGTTTTATGCAAACGCTCTGAAGCTGGATAGGACACACACAGAGACACATGCAAATGAGCTTATCAGGCGGCGCAGGGTGCACTGCAGAGGTGAACGCTTCTCCACTTAGGAAAATGCTCATAAGCAGCTGTGGATTCCCAAAACTTTTCATCCACACACTTGCAAATCCTTAAACAGACAGAAGAAGAAGAAGAAGCAGCAGAGTGAGCTCACATCATCTCAGGTGAGTCCTTGCTTCTGAACAGCACAGGTATGGTTCGGTCCTGTCGGTGCGGTGGCTCAGAGGGGAGGGCGCGTTAGGATAAAGTCAAGATCATTTTCCTGGGTGGCCTGAGCACCTCATTGTTCCAGTAAAGTCACGATCCTGTAGGAAAATCAGCCATATTTATCATTACAGATATTAAGATGAGCTCGGACACGGCGGAGCAGTCGGAGGCGTCAGCAGAGCAGACAGGTAAGGTTTCACCGTCACCACGGCTCAATGTGAACCACCCAGTTTGAACAGGAGTTCTTCTGGACAAGAGCGTTGTCTTCACTGGCTTCAAACTGGAGCAGTTGTGCATTTATTCCATCAGTTCCAGGGCAGATTATGACCTCGTGAAAACTGCCTGGAATAATGCTTTGTTTGGATTATCTGAGAGGAGGTCGGGCCTTCTCATTCAACTGCTCTTAGATTTAAGAATCCTCTGTGCTTTACATGAAGCAGAGCACCTGTGTGTGCATGTGTGTGTGCATGTGTGTGTGCATGTGTGTGTGCGTGTGTGTGTGACGGTTGGCTTCAGTTCTGGGTCACCCCTGAGGCTGTTCTCTGAGAGACTGCCCAGAGGCTGAGGACATCAACCAGCCGCAGCACAAAAACCAGGAACCAGCAGCAAAAAAAAAGTGGAACTTTTAGTTTGAACAATGGCTGCATGAGAGAAGTGAACGATTCTGCTAAAGGTCCGGGCTCTTGCCGGTACGGACCAGTGGTTCCCAAACTTTTTTCAGCTTCCGAGCCACAAAGACAACAGCCGAAGAGACTCGTGACTCCTGTTAACACACATTACATCTTAAAGATGTCTGTTTTTAATATTTAGTGGTTTAAATCAGTATTTCCCACAGCCAAAAGACAAATAAGGACACTGATGTTGTTGCCTGTGTCTGTTAGTAAAATATCTCATGAAACCACTGGAAGAATTTAAATAAACTTTCAGGAAATAATTAATAGACGGACATCTACAACTGATAAACTTTTGGAGCCAGTTCAGTTCAAGATGGTTGCCACAGCTATCTGATACTTGAAAACACTAAAAAGGGTTGTGATTCTGTAGCATTTGCAGGTATTGACCTGAAAACTGATGTGGTAGTAGCTGAGAGTGATTCACAACACGTACTCTGAGTGTGATATCTCACAACATTACATGGAGTTGCTCAGAATGTGTTTCCTTCAAGCAAAAGCAGGTCTTCAGCTTTTAAGTTGTTTTCCGGTGGTCATCTCAGGACCCTCAGCTTGGAGTTTTAAGCCACATCGTGGTGTCCTGTTCCAAAAAACTCCCGCCCACATCAACGGGAAAATGGAAATGATCCCTAGACATAAACTTTTGTCAAAGCAAACTGAAACCTGAACTCTTGTTTCTGCGTTCTGAGGCTCTAAATGGAAACGAGCCGTGGTTCAGGTGAGTTCCCGTCACTCGAAGGCAACAGACACGTTCATCTCAGGTGGATCTCGACCTGCAGCAGCAAACCGGCCTCCTAGAAGTTTGTTTACGGTTGGAGATGGAGATAAAGCTCACAGCTGGTCGTGATGAGACCAAGTCTGTCTGTTGGAGGTTTTATGACAAATATGATGAAGGTCTCATACGTTTTCACAAAATACTAGCGTTGTTTTTGTGTAATAAAAGAGGTCTCTTCAAAGTAAAAAAAAAAAATAGCATTTTTGCTGTTGTTGTGAAGGAGAAGTCGAACCCTACAAATGTTGTTTTAGAATAAATGTCAGTCTTTACTAGCTTTGTGATCATCATTCAACCTTTATTTATACAGGTTAGTCTCATTGAGTCATGAGGACTCATTTACAAGAGAGACCTGTTTTAGACAGACAACATGTAAAGTACAGACAACAATAATTCAACAAACATCAATTAAAATCAAATACGAAGTAGTTATAAAAACAGTCCAATCATGATGTTACATAAAACAAGGTAAAATACTAAAAAGAAGAACATGTTTGCTTAAATTTTTCTGCTGACAGTATCAAATGTTTAAAATCCCTTAAAGAAATCTAATTAAGCAGCTTCAGAAGTTTTTGCAAGGTGTTCCAGGTAAAAGGCCTTTGTCTGAGTTCAGTCTGTACTGAGGGAACGCTGCAAGTAATGAAGGTCTGAGAGCGCACGCTGTAACTGCACTGACGACATGACATGTGGGAGGAGATATAAGAAGGAAGTTTCCTGCTTGCTCTCGACGAGGATGGATGCTTTCCCCTCCTACTCCTGCCTCCCTCCTGCTTTCCTCTTTGTCTTGTGATTCCTATCGGAGCCTCTCACTATATATCCTCCAAATTGTAAATATGGATCTGGCCAGCTGGTCTCTCAACACAATCGATAAAATGTTCTTGACAAGAAGACAGGAAGAAGAGCCCTCATGCCCTGAAGGGACACTCGCAGCTGGATTCACTATGGATTCCTAGGGCCAGTGGAAGATGGTGTGTCTGTCTGTATTGTCCGTTGAGGATGTAGAAGATGCGTACATAATTGGATTTACTATAACCGGATTTCTGCTTTTTGGTATTGGTGGGTATCTAGCATATCAACAAATTCAGAAGATGGCAGCAGTGGTTTTGACAATTGTGAGGCTGCCTGCCTTGTATGAAGGAATGTACCGAGCAGTAAGCTCTCAGACTCGGACGATGCGTGAGCTGAGCCGTAAGCTGGACACAATTTCTGAGAATTGCAGGCCACTTGCAGCTCCTGGGACTCACTGGCGGGAACGAATCGGCCTTGGAGAAGCTACAAGCTTGGTCCAGAGGTGTGACCACAAAATGTGGCTGTTTGGAATCGCCAGTGAGACGTAGCAGCAGAACTATGAAGGCAGACATGAAATCAAGCAGAAGGCTGCCTGACCCAAAATAATTGTGTTATCTGAATTTAGCTTCCCCACTTGGCCTTGAATTGGCCAGCCATCTCAACTTCTCCTGGTTGTTTATGTGAATGAGAAGCTCCCCACCTCCCCTATCGCTCCCCTCCCGAGGGTATCTGTGGATCTGTGTCAGAGTTGAGCCGGATGATAGACACTGCGCCATCTTTATCAGGATTATGGAACTTTCTGACAGGCCCTCGGACAACTCACTGGCCTCGTCAACCTCCTCATGCATAAACAAATTATGATGTCATCAGTATTTTGCTGTTTATGTGCTGAGGTAATTGTTTTGCAACTTTCACACTGTGACCCGTTTAGGCCAGCCTGAGTCACCTCCTTCTTCCCATGTTTGTTTGTTTATGTTTCTCTCGGATGGGCTGTACTGAAATGTAATTTCGCTGTGCTTCGGTGCAATGACAATAAAGTTGATTCTGATTCTGACTGAGGGATTTATAGATGAAGATGAACCAGTGCGAGAGCCTATGTGTAGATAATGATGACCAACTGACCAATGAGTACAGAGTGCAGTGATGGGTACGGTAGTTACAACCAGTTATGAATCTTAGCGCGCCGTGATAAACAGCGTCCAACATCTGCAAGGAGCTGGCAGGGCAATCATGTAAATAATGTCACCATAGTCAATGGCCGGTAGGGAAGTAGCAGCTACAAGTTGTTCCTTAACATTCAAAGTTAAGCAAGATCTATTTCTGAAAAAGAAACCTAGTTTAATTTTCTGCTTCTTTATCAAGCTTTCAACATGCACTTTAAAAGAGAGATGGGCATCAATTAAAATTTCCAAGTATTTGTCAGAATCCACTAACTTAATAGGAACACCAAGCGTGGATGAGATAGGGGGGGAGAACTAGAGGCACAAACTTTCTGTTTGAAAACAACATCGCCTTGGTTTTATCACCATTAATTGGTTCCATCATCTTCTACCACTTGTTCTAGAGTTGGGTCTTGGGGGCAGCAGCTTGAGCAAGCACGTCTAGAGAGACAGAATCTCTCCAGCGTGTCCTTGGTCTTCCCCGGGGTCTCATCTCAGCTGGACATGTGTGGAAAAGCACCCTAGGGAGGCATCGGGAGCATCCTTACCAAATGCCTGCACCACCTCAACGGACTCCTCTTGATGTGGAGGAGCAGCAGTTTTACTTCGAGTCTCTAACTGAACTTCTGAACCCAATCTCTAAATGAGAGTCCAGCTAGCCTCTGGAGGAAACTCATTTTGACCGCTTGTATCCAGGATCTCGTTCTTCTAGTCACTACTCAGAGTTCATGGCCAGAGGTGAGGGGAGGAATGTAGAGCAACCGAATGTAGGGCTTTGCCTTACAGCTCAGCTCCCTCTTCACTGCAATGGACCGGCACAGTGTACACAATACTGCAGACGCCACACCAATCCGTCTGTCAATTTTCATTCTTTACTCACTCGTGAACAAAACTCCAAGATACTTGAACTCCTCCACTTGAGGTAGAACCTCACCCTCAACCCAAACAGAGCAATCAGACCATTTCTGATTTGGAGGTGCTCATCCCAGCCGCTTCACACTCGGTTGTGAACCGCTCCAGTGAAGATCACGGCACGATGACACCAACAGGGCCACATCATCTGTAAAGAGAAGAGACGGAATCCTGAGACCATTGAACCGGACCTCTTCCTGGCTGCACCGAGAAATCATGTTTATGAACAGAATCAGTAAACAAATATCTGTTCTCTATTAATGCTTTTCCACTTCATTAGATAAAATAGAGTTTACCAAAAATAGTCACACAAACAACATGACAGAGGAAGGAAACCTCTAATAGTAAATATCATTAGATACCGTTTCCACCACTTCCTCTCCTGCTTACAGTGTTCGTCCTCATCGTCACGAGAACCATCGGCGTTACCGCTATCATAACCCAAAAATTTGTTTAAAACAGACTTTTAAATCTGGATGGTTTTATGGACAACTTTAAAGATACAGCAATGTCATGCATGGCAAGTGGTCTAAAGGAAGTACGTAACCAGAGTCTTAAACATTGAAGCTTTGTGTCCTGAAATTTAAAAGATTATAACCAAATGTTAGAAACTAAAAGGCCTTTGTTTACATTGAATGTGGACCTGCATTTCAAAATAACGTCTGAAAACGACTGGAGTAAACGCTTTAAACTGCACCTTTGATAAAGTTCAGGAGAACCTTTTCATGTTCGAGTTTTTAGTGTACATCGAGTACCTTTAAACATACACTGAGCTTCCAGTGAAAGTATATTTAAAAAGTTGAAATTATCTAAAAGGTGAAACAGTTTTGCTTTTTCTGTATAGTTTTTTTTAATTATTGATTAAAGTTGTTTTAATACTACTCCTGTGAACAGAGTTTAAAAATCAAATATATCTCTTCTGATTATGTGTAATAATAGTTATCGTTCAATAACTTAATTCTGTTTAAAATGTTTCACAAATTATAGTTAGATGTAAAATGTATACATGTGTTTTTTGAGTTACACATTTTAGTACTTGCTTGTTTTGGTACTTGTCCTGTAAAACAACTAACCAATCAGTTATTTTCTTACAATGTCTAATTTGACATGAAGTTGTGGAAAATTAATTTTTATTGACAATTTTCTGGTGGAAAAACAACCAAAAAGTTTGTTTAATCTCAAACATTTTTTTTTTCTAGTTGAGAATAAAGATGGAAGGTTTGCTCATAGCTTGAGGTAGAAATCCTCCCAAAATAAATAAATAAATCACAAGTAACTGAAAATGGACATAAATCTTGAATTCCTGAGTGAAACTTTGTAATCTGGGCACACCTGTTTTTTTTATTTATTTATTTATTTTTAATATATAAATTAAAGACAAAGTAGGTCAAGTGGCCTGAATGAAAGTTTTTTTTTTAAAGTCACAATTTTTAAAAATCATTTATGCCTAAAATCGTTTTTTTCAGGGTAATTTTCTGCAACAACTTGCTTTCCTAAAGGAACGTCAGCGCCATAGTGGGATTATATCTTCTGCTGTATTTAATCTTGTTGTTTTAAGTCTTATAGGCCGTTCCATTAAATACCCCAGCTAAGGTATTTTTAGGAAATCCTCCATCCATCCATCCATTATCTTTACCCGCTTATTCCATTTTGGGTCACGGGGGTTGCTGGTGCCCATGTCCAGCAATCACTGTGCGAGGGGCGGGGTACACCCTGGACGGGTCGCAAGTCCATCACAGGGCCACATAGAGACAAACGAGACAAACAACCATTCACTCTCTCACTCACACCTATGGACAATTTAGAGTTACCAATCAGCCTAACATGCATGTTTTTGGTCTGTGGGAGGAAACCGGAGCACCCGGAGAAAACCCACGCATGCACGGAGAGAACATGCAAACTCCACCCAGAAAGGCCCCTGGACCGGGGTTTGAACCAAGGACCCACTCGCTGAGAGGCAGCAGCTCTACCAGTTGCGCCACCGTGCTGCCCGGAAATCCTCTAAATAGGTTGAAATAAATACTGCTCCCATGATCTTTACTCAGCCACGGTCATTTGTGCTTTAACTACCAGAGTGACGCCACAGTGGTTCAGATGGTTCAGGCAACAAATCAGTGAGGCAGATTAATATAGATCCAATATTTAGAGTCAAATTTTAAACAAATATCGTCCGAGTTAGTAGTTACTCTGTAAATTGGTTTTGAATGTGTGGAGAGACAGTTAAAAGTAGATGGTAAAAAATGAAAATATCTGTAGGAGGCGTTTGAAAACTTGATTTCTCTGGGTTAGAGTATTTATTTCTCTTTAAGGTGAAAAATAAAGAGTGAATATGAATCCGTTTTACTGTCTGTGCCATAGAAATTCAAACAAATTAAACTCAGATTTACAGTTTATTTCACTTGGTGTCACAAACTTTCATAAATACTCGGCAAATTAACCCATTCAAACTCAATGAAACATTGGATTTTAAAGATTAAGTGATGTTACATGGACTCATTCTGGAGATTTAAGTAAAAAAAAAAAGAAAAGAGGCTGAAAATACAAAACGATACAAAACAACACAAAAGGGGCGTGGGGGGGCAAACTTTAAAACTGGGGGGTCAACATAAGTCAATACATTGATTCAAGTCAGACCTGGCATCTTTTCTTGGGAGAGGGTTCCTCAACAAGAGCTTAATCGTTTCTCTTTTGATTTTCTGTCGTTCTTTCTACATCAAAATCAAAGATTACTGAAAATTTCAATTTAAATATTCTTGACTTCAAAGTTAGCCAAGAGTCATGAGAAGCCTGCACTAAAAAATGTGTTATTTTACATAAACTTAGAAGTGATAAAATATTTCACGTTTAAAATATCATCTTGGGGGCCAGATAGGATGCTAACGAGGGCCATATTTGGCCCTCGGACCTTGAGTTTGACACGTGACTTCACATGCGACTTATACTATAGGATACAACATTACACTGTGATACAGATACTTTAAAGACAATGTGACACAAATACAAAAAAACATGTTACATAATACATAATGCAATACACAATATGATACAATACAATAAAATATAATGCAGAAATAATAATATTATACAATATGATACACTACACAATGCAATGTAATACAGTACTGTATGATACATTAAATTATGATACAAATACAATAAAGTACATTAAAATAAAGATACAAAACAGTACTATATAATTAATATACAAAATTTTACAAAAATGATACCATACAAACAATACAATGTAATGAAACAATATAATACAATAGACTACAATACAAAAATGACAGTTTGATACATGCAATGTAATGTAACTATGCAACAGTACTCTGATCCACTACAAAATTGTAAAAAATATGATACAAATACAATTAGATGCCTGACAATACAATGCAATAAAATGCAGAACAATTAGACACAATACAAATCGAAGTGATTCAATACGATACAACACAGATTTAATGCAGTACTTTACAAGGTCTCTTGAAAATGAGTCCTTGTGTGCGACTATGAGAATAACTTGTATAAATAAAGGTTGAATGAATACAATACAGTATAATTTGGTGCAAATACAATCTGTAAACTATAATACAATCCACGGTGTTACGATACAACTTACAGTATGTTTGTGTCCACTTGGAGAAATTTGTTTTAGTGCTGTCATCACAACTAAACAGAAAATGAACAGATTATTAAATCAAGCTTGTACCAAATGAAAAGGACGATCATATTTAGTCGTAGATTAATGAAAAGGGTTTTTTTCAGGGTTTTTCTTTGATTTGTGTTCACAAACACAGAATATTGTGTAATTTCTTGCCCATGCCTGCATGTTTCCAATCAACTTTGTTGTGACGTCAGAGTCATGTGTGTGTGTGTGTTTGTGTGCACGTGTGTGTGTGTGTAGTGTGGGAATGGAAAACAGTTTATGTTGTCAGCCCTAAACGTGGAGTGAAGTCTGTTCGTCTGGTCGATTTAGAAAAAGTTTCAAAATCAGCAGAGAATTTCTGAACTATGAGTTTTTTTTCCCTCAGTTTTCTGTTTTTGCACAGCGTGCACCCACCCTAATTAATGTGTGTGTGTGTGTGCGTGTATGGGGGGAGGCTTCCTGCACTCAGAACTGATTTGCATGTTTTGGTCATTTCCATACTGGAACCTTGGCTGTGAAGCTGGCTCTGCTGGGGTGGGGGTGGAGGGTCAGTGGGGGGATTATAAATGTATTTGCATTCTGTGTTTAACGTAGTTCATTGCCTCTTTCGCTCTGTCTCTCTTCAGTTTTCTGTTTTTGCACAGTGTGTACCCACCCTAATTTCTCTCTCGCTCTCTCTCTGTCACACACACACACCCAGACTCACACATGCGCACTCACGCACACACACCCAAAAGGCCCAATTTGACATTCAAATGATGTGAGCTTATCCTGCTAACCTTTGTATCGTCCTCCCCTGTGATCTGTCTCTGCACACACACAAGCTTCTTAAAAACACTCGTGTGTTTTTGAACGAACATCTAGCAGTCAACAGCCAGCAGGCTGGGGGGTGGGGGGGGGGGGGCATTGGGGGCTCAAATACATGTTTTTAAAGTAGCAGTGACAGAAAAATATCAAAATATATGTTTTCATCACAGAGAAACAACTATTTTTGTTATGAACTACTTTGGTTACTTTTCCTTAATGGTCAATTTTTGGCAGCACGGTGGTGCAGTTGGTAGAGCTGCTGCCTTTAGTAAGCAGATTGCACCGGTTCAAATCCCGGTCTGGGGGCCTTTCTGGATGGAGTTTGCATGTTCTCTCTGTGTATGCATGAGTTTTCTCGGGGTATTCCAGTTTCCTCCCACAGACCAAAAACATTAATTCAACCTGTATTTATACAGGTTAATCCCATTGAGCCTCGAGGACTCATTTACAACAGAGTCCTGATCTCAACAAAGAATGATGACAACAATGGACAATTATAAAAAAGAGGCGTGCAGATTTTTTTTCTTCCACACATAAGATGGCAAAAAAGTAACAAAAACATCTAGATTATAAAATGAATGTAGAAAACTAAAAACAGGAACATGTCTGCATTGGTCCCTGCCAGGAGTCCAACAGATTCTTAAAGCCACATAGAGGTCAAGGTCGAGAGCTTCAGGTCTTTTTGCAAGATATTAACCTTAACATGCCTGACGACTGGTCTAAAGTCATTCAACCTTTACTTATACAGGTTAATCTCATTGAGCCTCGGGGACTCATTTACAAGTGAGACCTGAAAATTGTCCCTGGGGGTGAGAGTGAAGGGTTGTTTGTCTCATTTGTCTATGTGTCCCTGTGATGGACTGGAAACCTGTCCGTGGTGTCCCCCACCTCTCGCACAGTGATAGCTGGACATGGGCGCCAGTGACCCCCGCGACTCAGAAACGAAGAAGCGGTAAAGATAATGGACGATGAATTCAATTTTTTAATTTTATTTTTCTTTCGGCTGCTCCCTTCTTCAATGAACTAACTCTCACAAAGACTTGGCAGTTATTTTTACACCAGATGTCCTTCCTGACACAACCACAGACCACCGAGCTACCACAGCCCTCTGTGTGGAGCAGGGAGCTGCTAGCTAGAGCACTCGAGGGAGCAGATGGTGGGGGTTAAGGGCCTTGCTCAAGAGCTCAGAGTGGAGCAAATGAGGGTGGAGGCAGGCGTGGGTGTTTCACCTTTCCCACCCACATTTTGACGGTGACCCTCCAAACACAGGCTCACCTCCTCTAACCTCTGCGCCACCACTCCCTCATCCCCTTAATGATTCAATAGATTATTTAATTTGAAAAACAGTTTAAACTTTAAACACTAAATGCTGTGTACGTTAATCTGACTTTAAACTTTTTTCTTCTATTCCAAGGAAAAAGTCACCAATTCTGGCTTTAAATGAAGTTCAACTAACTAATGAACCAACTAACGAACCAACTAACAAACCAACTAACTAACTAACTAACTAACTAACTAACTAACTAACTAACTAACT